CTATAGGATGTTTATTAGCACCTTGGGCCTCTACCCTCAAGATGCCAATAGCAACATCCCATCCAGATGTGACAACCAAAAATGTCTCCAGACCTTTTCAATTGTCTTCTGGGGGGAAAAACTCACCTTTGGTTAAAATCACTGCATTCATTCATTCATTCATTCATGGCATATTTAAGGAGCATTCATCATGTGCAGACACTATGCCTTGCCTCATGGGGGAGGGGAGATACTGTTTGTTAATAGTTGTGGTAGTTGCTTTCTCAAACTTCCTAGTCTAAAGAGGGAGGCCAACTTAAACATGTAATTACACAAATAACTCACTTTTGAGGGAAAGTTATATTTAATAGAAGATCTGAATGATCTTTTCAAGTAGGTGCCAGTTCTATAATAATAGATATGGAAACACCAGGCTGTAGGAAGATTGTTTGTATTGGCTTTTAAAATTTTTTAAAGCTTAGATTTTCTTTTTTAAAGATTTTTATTGGGGAATTGGGGGAAGGGTAACAGACAAGTTGCTGTCCTTTTTGTTTTTCAGTCTAGTTGTGGAGGACGTCGATTCACTGGCCATGTTGGTATTATCATTGTACTCTTCTTGGCTGAGGCAAATGGGTCACAGGCCCCTGGACGGCCACTCACGGTAGCTCACAGCAGCCCACTGCAGCTCCACTGCAGCCTATGCCATCACCGGCAAGCTGTTGTTCACCATCTTAGCAGTAGAGGGTGCAGCGTCACTGGCCCTAATGTGGGATCTGAACCGGGGCCCTGCTGCTCAGAGCTGGCCTCCCAAGCCAGCTCCTAACCAACACACCACTCAGCCAGCCCAGTTTAGATTTTCTTATACCTTGAACCTCCAAATATAACACACCTTGAAGCTGAAATTTAAATAACACTTAAAATCAGAAAGTTATTCTGGTAGGTTGAAACAGCTGCATTTTCTTTGCCACTCTTATCATCAAGAAGGAGTTTTATTCCCCCTCCTGGGAACTGGAATGACCTGTGCCTGGTTTGACCCAATAGAATGCAGTGGAAGTGATGCTGTGTGGCTCCCAAGCCTGGGTAATAAGGAGGTTTAATCTCTGAGCCACCATATAAGCTATCCTGCTGGAAAGAGAAAAACAACGGACAGGTCCTGGTTGATATGCTGCCATGTGGAGATAAAGGCCATGTGGAGGAGCCCTGAGATGCCAGATATGTAACTAAAGAAGCATTTTGGATGTTCTAGCTAATTGAGCCTTCAGCCTCCAGATAACTCTGCCTCAGGTACCACCTGACTATAGTCACATGAGAGTCCTCAAATGAAACCAACAGAAGAACCACCCAACTGATCCCAGTCAACCAACAGATCCATGAGAGATAATACATTGGTTGTTGTTTTCAACAACCAATTGTTGTTAAATTGGGGTAATTTGTTCTATAGCAATAGATAATCAAAGAAGTCCCTACTGTATTACTGAACATAAGGATGGGAACACTCACTGATATGTTTATTGTATAAATAATAGTTATGTATGCAAATGAATAGGATATATCAATCAGTATTCTTTTAGGAGTTAGTGATAAAAACCCAATTCAAACTGCTTAGGGGAAAGGTGGAAATTTTTGGCTTATGAAACCCTAGGCAGGGTTAACTCATCCAACTGTGTGAGTATCAGGGATGAGGTGTAAGTATTTAAATGTCACATGGGCATTTTCTTTCTATCTCTCATTTCTACTTCTTTCTCTGTGCTGACTTCATTCCTATTTACTACAGACTAGCTGGTCTACTTGGTCACTTACATACATTCTATCATTGATTCATATCTTTATTTATAACTTTACATACCACCATCTTTGTAGTTGTGTGTTTATTGCTAAGACCAGAATTTCACATCTTACAAATTCTACTATTGGAAAGAGACTACATGCTTCTTTTTCTTAAGTACAGTTTTTTTAAAATCCCAGGGATGGAATATGATTGGCCCAGCTTGGATCAATCTCTATCCCTGAGCCAATCACTGTGATTGAGTAAGGAATGAAGGGAGGAGAGGAGAATCATATAAGAAAAAGCATGTTCCCAAATAGCCATGTGGGTAGGTAAGGATGTGTATCAGTTAACTTTTGCTATATTATAAACCACCCCAAACAACAACCACTTTATTTGCTCACAATTCTGCTGGTCAAAGGGCATTTTGTATGCCTGGTCTGATAAGCTGGGACTAGATGGTCGAGGATGGCCTCACTCAATTGTCTGGTGGCTGGTAGGTTGATTGGTTTGTGGGTGGGGGTGGGAGTAGGGGAAGACAGTTCACTTGCATGTCTGGCACTTGGTTTGATATCAGCTAGGGTGACAAGATGACTTGGCCACATGTCATTCATCATCCATCAGGCTACCCTGGGCTTGTTCACGTGATGGCAGAAGAGCTCCCAGCACCAGAAGTGACCCTCAAAGCAATGTATTTTTCAAGCCTTGGAATGTGTCCAATTTACTAATATCCCATTGGAGAATCAACTTACATAGCCAAACCCTTATTTAAGTCACCAAAAATATTAACTCCATCTCTTGATGGGAGAAGCTGCAATATAGCAACACTGTTCTTCCCACCAGTCTATCACATTGTGTGTGTGTAGGGTGAGGTGATTGTGGAGATTTTCAAGGGAAGTACTGCAGACAAACCAACTAATGTTGACAATATAAATGAACTGAATTCCCTACAATTATCTCAATTATCTTGAACTTCCCACTTGGCCTTAGCGATAAATGCACAACCACAAAAATGGTGGTATGTAAAGTTACAAATAGAGATAGGATGGAATGGTAGAATGTATGTAAGTGACCAGTTATATTCTCTTAGTTTGTCTCAGATAATTGTGAGAAGTTAGGTATTTCCCACCCTCCGCATATTTCTGGTATGAACATTGCCCCAGGTTTTGTTTTAGAAGCCTTGGCTGCTTTTGAAAACCAATTGCTTCACTGGAAAATGTTGTGCAAACCAGATCCTGCTGTCTGCTAGTCATTAACATGTCCTTTCCAAGAACAGGCTCTCCAAAACAATATGTCCTAATGCTTTCAGAGTCAAAATTAACTGCAAAAATTAGAATTGTTTCTAACTATCAATTAGTAGATAGGTGAGTCTAGAATGCACCAGCAATTTGGCCTCTTAGAATTTTTGTTTCAAGGTGTTTTTTTTTTTTTTAAATAAAGATAGATATAGCATCCTTCAATAGCATCATTGTCTAATGTGAAGAGCACGAACTCTGGAGCCAGAATTCAGGGTTCAAAATCTGCCTTTCCCACTCACTGTGACCTTGGACAAGTCACTCAACCTATCTGTCCCTCAATTTCCTTGTTTTTCAAATGGGGATTTAATAGGAGTATCTTCCCTTAATAACTGTTACAATGCCTAAACAAGTTAATTATTCTGAGGTTCTGACCCCCGCTTGGGGTAGAGTCAATGAGAAACCATCTTTGAGATGTCAGTCTGTTATGAGAATGCATATTTCTGTCTCTAGTCATCATAAAAAAACCATCACCTTTTTCTTGCTGATTAACAGCATCGCCAGCTCAAGGGAAGGAAGTTAGTGCAACAGTAGTCAGTCTACTTGCAAACTGCTGTCTGTCACAGAAGGCTAGGGGGAAGAGGTGTATAGTGTCAATACTGTGGTGTAGAGAAGGCCAGAGGATTTTAGTCATCTATGCTGTCTCATCCTCCTTTTTCCATAAGTTGTGTTTTTAAGTAAAGTCAAGCATTAATAAAGTGTTATGAAAATCACAGCCTGTATTTATCAATCCACACATGTAAGCCAGCCTTTGTTTTCTGAGCTATCCATCAAAAAAGCAATGATATTCAAGAGTAACTGACATTTAAAAGGATAAGTATCTAATATAGTTATTCAAGAAATATTATAAAATAAGCCAATTCTCTACCTCCCATTCTCTAAATGACTAGACAGAGGAATGAGCAAATTCCTTGGTGTCAGCATTGGATACTTAATTAAAATACATGGGTCATGGTTTTAAGTTAATTAAATCATTCCTCTGCTCCACCCCAAATGCCCATCTCAACCATCATCTCTTCTTATTGACCCTCCTGTCCACAGAGCCAACACAAATATTAGCTGAATGAAAGAATAATAACTTCCTCCATATCACTGACCTGACAAAACACTTTATCAGGAAACAATTACTCTCCGAACTCAGAATCTAGGTGTTTTTGAAGGGTGGGCAGAGTTGAAGCGGAATTTAACCTAGTAAAATAGATCAGAAAAGTACCTCAGAAAAGGGCTCCATTCCAATAGATCTACTATCCAATGTTTTAAGGATGCAAAAATCTCAGAGAAGTGAAAATAAGGTTTATTTTTTTCTATTAAATGGGTATAATCATTTGCAACCTCCCTCTCAACCTTTGTCATTTGGTTTTGCCCATCTCCTACCCCCGCTTCCAAAAAAGGGGTTTGTACAAAAATAAATTAAAAAAAAAAAAAAGACCAAGTCTATCCTATTAAATGGGATTTGTTTCCAGGTTCTATGAGGTTTCATGAAATATCTAGAATGTTGAGCTCTGGCCACATGAATTGCTTGGAAAAAGATGAATTGCATTGGAGGAGGAAAAACCAGCTCTGGATTAGATTTATGGAATTGAGATATTTGTTATTCATAAGATACAAGCTGGGGAAAAAAATGGTAAGAATCAGGCATCTTGTTAAGATTATTGTGTTTCCTGGGAGGAATGCCTGCACCCTTCCACATTTTTATCTACCTGAGTATTCAGTTGCCATTGGCTGCAACACAAAAGCACCAAGCTTAGTAGCATAAAACAGCAATCATTTTATGACGACTATGGATCCTGTGGGTCAGGAATTTAGAAAGAGCACTGTGAGGACATCCTGTTCTTACTCCACGATGCCTGGGGCCTCATGTGGGAAGACTCAAACAGGGTGAATTGACAGCTTCAAGATGACGTCATCCAAAGGCTTGCTTACTCACAGGTCTGGCAGGGCTTGCTGGCTGTTGGCTGCAACGCAAACACATAGCTTCTCCATGTCTCTTCTTGGGCTTCTCACAGCAAGGTGACTGGGTTTGAACAGTGAGTATCCCAAGGGAATCTGGGCAATTTTTTATGACGTAGTCTTGGAAGTCACGTAGTATCATTTACACCATAGTCACAAACCCACACAGATTAAAGGGGAGAGAACACAGGCTACATATCTCCATGTCAGTCACAAACATATAATATGTAATACATTATATATATGCATACATATATACATGTAAAGAGCAGGAAATGAGATTATTGCAGCCATCTTTGGAAAATATAAGGTACCACATTGGGCACAAAATGCATTTTAGTTTTTCTCATATGACAGCATAGTGGATAAAAATATCTCTAGCCTTTGAATATGTTTGCTTAGTTTGAACAAAATTAATTAATGTCCTTTTCTCTATAGACTGGTGAGGAGGAAAAAATAACCCATTGCTTATTAACACTGATCCAAGATAGAGAAAGTGAGAATGATGGGTAAGTATACATACTTTGATATTGAGTCCTTCTTGAAACCTCAAGAATACATTAAATCTAAACAAAAAGGGGTTAGAGTGAGTGGAAGAAGATGCTTGATCAGATCAGCAGCAGCCTTGGGGAGAAGCTTGGAAAAAAAACAAATTTGAGAAAGCTAAGTATCAATGAAGCAGGAAGTCTCTCTAGAGAGTCGGCCTCAAACTAACAAATGAATTCTTGGGTTTAATGCAGCACTAATGGCTAACATCATTTTTTCCCCCTCCCAGAACCAAATTTTTATGTTTAGAAGGCTCAATGCAACCACTCTTTGCAGCAAGCCCAAAAAGATTTCTCTCTCCCAATTTCTCTTCCTCCTTTTTCTTTTCCTGCTTTCTCTGGAACCCCACTCCATCTCAAGTTCAGTATCTACCCCAAAAGGGCAAGCACCTCTCATGAATTGCTGGGACAGAGTGCTCTTCCATCCCACTGCAATCTTTATAAACTTCTGCTGGTAGACTTGAGAATCTCCCTTGAACACTATAGAGGGTTCCTACAGTGAAAATGTGTAGAATAATAAATATCCTCTTTTTTAGTTTGGGTGTTTATAAATTGTGGTATCAAGGGACTGACTCTAATATCAATGTGGTGGGCAGAATTATGGCCCCTCAAATACATCTATGTCCATATCCCTGGGATCTCTGAATATATTACCTTACATGGCAAAAGGCATTTTGCAGAGTTGATTAAGTGAAAGATCTTGAAATAGAGAAATTATCCTGGATTATCTGAGTGGTACCAATGTAATCACAAGGGTCATTATAAGAGGGAGGCAGGAGGGTCAAATCAGAGAAGGAGATGTGACGATGGAAGAAGAGGTGAGAGGGAGAGAGAGAAAGAGAGAGAGAGAGAGAGAGAGAGAGAGAGCTGCTGGATTTGAAGATAGAGGAAAGGGTCACAAGCCAAGGAATGCAGGCAGCCTTGTGACGCTAAAAAAGGCAAGGAAACAGATTTTTCCCTAGAGC